GAAATTGTCACAAAGGGGACGAGGAGTATGGGAGCCTTAGGCTCAGCGTGGGTAGGCTGGAAGAAGCTTGACAGAGATGCTGGCCTCAGATCTGGGTCTTGAAGAAAGAAAGTTCTCTTCTGGGCTATAGTAGCAGCTTCCCGAATGATGTCCCTGTTTCTACCACATTGCCCCTTATGATCCATTCTTCACACAGTAAAAAAACTGACTTTTAAAAAGCATATAAATTAGATAACGCCATTCTCTTGCTTCACATCCTTCAAGAGCACCCTACTGCAATCAGAACAAAACCCAGGCTCCTTACCGGGTCCTTGAATTAATCCATTCCCTGCCTGCCTTTCTGGATCATTTCCCATGTCCACTTACACGGACCTTCCTGCCCTCTGAGCCCACCACGGTCAGCCTTTGCATGACTTTTCCATTGCCTGAAATGTGTTCCTCATGGTCTTTCAAGTTCTTCAAAGAACCCCATCTTAACTTTTTAATCAAAAGTACCTTCTTCCTTCCCTGAGTTGCTCTCTAATGTATTACCCTATTCCATTTCTCAATGCATGGTGTTATTATCTGGAATTATCTTGTATGTATGTTTATTTATCCATTTACAGACTATATCTAGCACAAAAATGTAAGCTCCTTGTCAGTAGAAACTGGGTTCTGTCTTACCTGGCAGACGGTAAGCACCCAAATTTTTTTTTTGAATGAATGAATAACAGAAGAGCAGAATGCCCACCCAAAGGTTAGACAAATGTCCCAATCCACCAAACCCAAGGGCCTAAGTCTGCTTTTCATTGCTTGTTTCAGGTGTAGCTCACCCACCCACAAGGTACTGAGTTTAAAATAGTGATTATCTTTAGTAATATCTCCTAACAGAATATGCCTATGCCCCTGCTATCACAACATTCTGATCCAAAGAAGTAGACATTTATGACAAGACTAGGTGTTTCCTAGCACTCAGAGATAGGCATCAGATGTTTGAAAGATTAAAAAAAAAAAAAAAAAAGGTACAGAGGAAGGAAGCAACTTCCTCAGCAAAGCCATAGGCGGCCCTGGGCTTCAGAGAGAACATCAGCCATTCATGACTGTGACAGAATGACACCATGAGACCAGCACAGGAAAGAAGTCAGCCCACTGCACGGCTGGGACCCTTAGCCCTACAAACTCTGAGAGACACTGTAGAACATGAATATGAAACACTAAATGCCTATCTCTTCCTCAGTTTAGGACTTCTAACTTCATGTCACCCCTTTTCTGTTGGCAAGTGGGAGAACCAGTAGTGACCATACAACCATAATCGTCATCAACAGTCTTGAGCTAAGAGCTTGAGCTATCAAGGGGGCTGAGCCAATGAGAGGTGACAAATATCTTTATCGAAAAGATTCCATGAACTAAAATGCAGAGATGACATCCTTCAAAGAAGTTACAAAATCCATTATAGGTAAGGCTCGTAAGTAGAATTTAAATTTAATCATGCAACTATGTAGATACTACACTGGATGAAACCAAATGGTTTAACTATGTAAGTATTATACTGAAATGTGATTTCTGCCATTATTGTTCATCACCAGGGAACAAGAGCACCCTGGAACAGGAAATTAGAAACAGCTACTTCCAACAAGGCATGACATCCCAGCCCTTCTTGTATGGATAGCTTCTCATCTAAACATTCATTCAGGGGCACCTGGGTGGCTCAGTCAGTTAAGCATCTGCCTTCAGCTCAGGTTCTGAGCCCAGGGTCCTGGGATGGAGCCCCACGTCAGGCTCCCTGCTCAGTGAGGAGTCTGCGTCTCCCTCTCCCTCTACTCCTCCCTCCAACTCATACTTTCTCTCTCGTACTCTCTCTCTCTCAAATAAATAAAATCTTTTTAGAAAATAAAAAAATAAAATAAACTTTCATTCATTCAACATTTTACAAGATGCTACCACTATCCTAGGCACAAACCAAAATAAATCCCTGTAATAAATCCCTCAAAGAATGTGCAATCTAGCAGGGTAGAAAAAAACAAACAAACATGCAGAAGCTGTAAAATAAGGCAATCCCAGCTAAAGCTTAGAGGATGGATAGGCAGCCTGGAGACAGAGAGGCCAGGACTCCCCTAAAGAAGCTAACAGTGAAGGATAGATGGCAACTTCCAGCAGGTTCTACCAGAGGTAGAACAGCCTAAGGAAGGGGGTACAGACAAGACAACGTGTCCTCTGGGAACAACAACATTATTGTCTGGGGACAGGATGTGGCTGTGCAAGGGCTGGAAAGGATGGCTAAATCTTCAATTAGACTTTAACTCAAGGACAGAGCACTTTGCTTCCCCCCGCAGTCCCAATAAGTCCCATATTATCTAAGACCCAATTCCCTACGTGGGGTAGGCTCTAATTCATACTTACTAGATAAATAAGAAAAATAGTTCAGAGAGAAAAAAAAATGAAATCAATTCAACTCACTTGGAAGTTGCTGCTGCAATGGATGTTCTTGGTTCTCCTACTCATCTAAGTCATGGTAGAACCGTGCACATCCTTGATTACCAGTAGAACCTTGTATTATGTCACTGACAACACAGGGGCATGGAAACAAAGTGCACGTGGCTGGGAGTGGGTAGGCGTGGTGTGCGCATGCGTGCGTGCTTGTGTGAGACGACATGCAAATCAGGAAGGCTGGAGAAATTTGCTGGGCCCGATACCTTGTGAATGTTAGAAAAATAAGACAACTGATCTAGAAATCAATTATACTGGTGCTGTCATCCCAAATGCAGAGCTAATAATGGCTTAATTCCAGAAAGCTACTGGTACCTAGAAATACGACTGCTTTATATTTTCATTTTTAGAAATACATCCAGCGAATAAGTAAATGTTATTTGTAACTGTTGGTGATGGTGTGGCAGCATGATTTGTATTAGAAAAAACATACTGCACCAGGAATTGAGAGCCCCAATTCTGCCCTGCTACTGAACTTAAGGCAGAACTGCAGACAGGAAGTTTGACCTTCCCGAGTGACCCCACAGGGAGGAGGGTGATAGGCAGCGCTGAGCTCCCCCATCTGTGAAGATGATCACAACGCTGACCTGCACCAGCTCTCTCCATGTGTCTTACCCCTGCTCAGAGCATCACTCTGCATTTACACCTGCTGCTAAAAGGTAGATTTCCCTTCACCATGCTCGCCAGCCTTCTGCTTCATGAGATCTAAGCTACCTTCGCTTTCTAAAATGTCCTCTGGTTCTTTTTGTAATGATGTCATCTTTAAGTCTGGGGTCAAAGCCTTGAGAAAAGCATCTTTTTAAGTGGATCTAGCAACACCTGGTTTTCAAAGGCCATTCTGAAAGTGTCATTCGCAAAACAAAATTGGCAGTTAAGGGTGAGAATATAGGAATCAAACATTTAAAGAACCCAGGGATTGCCAAATCATAGAACATGTATTTCTCTCATATACATTTTATTAGCCACCATGCGTCCCTTACAAATCACATATAAACGCTTTTATATATGTATCCAAATGTTTCCATACACACATATGGTCTAAAAGGGATTACTATAAAGACAAAAGGAGAGCTATTTATGGACCATAATCAAAGATCTAAAGCCCACTACTTTAAATGCAGTAGCACCTATAGCTACAAGCTTCAAAATCACAAGTGAGTGTGAATTTCACCCCTGCATTTTTATCAAGGACACATGTCTAGTAAAGGCACTAACCTTTTGATTCCTACATATCAACATTTAGAGACTTATTTAAGCTAATACATGGCTATTCTTCATAGAGCTCTAATGAGGTGCCTCGTTAGCGCAGTAGGTAGCGCATCAGTCTCATAGAGCTCTAATGTTCTTCCCTGATGCAGGGCTCTGGTTCTCTTTAGTGCTTACTTTATTTTTATAATTCTGCATTGTTTTTAACTATATATTCAGGCATACCCTTATATTCAGACTAATATACATGTACCCACAGAATCCTACTCTAAGTAAACACCCAAAAAGACATATACCTAACATGATCAGGAGAGAAAGAGAGGGAAGTCATTCCATTTACAAACAATTGTGTTTATAAACCATTAAAGACACTCAGCACCTAACTACTATCGAACATAACCTAACCATTAGAACAGATCCATGTTAAGAGTTTACTGTACATTTTGAGTTATTTTCCCTCCATTGTAGTCTACCCCTGTCAACAACAGAAACTAGATGACATGACCAGGTGACATCAGTTCTCAATACTTGTGATGGGCAAATTAAGGATCTGATGACTGACATGCTCTTCTGTCACCATGACCTAAAAGCAACTGTGCTAAACACAAGATCTGCTTTTGCATGAGTTGGGCAGAAAAATATATATATAGAGAGAGAGTTGGGAGTCTCAGTGCACCAAATGCGAATGATTAGTCTGTAATGCAACGCTGGCATTAATTTTTAAGAAAGGTAGTAAGCAGCTCACTAGAATATGGTATCAAGACAAATGTCACATTAGGACCCAGAGCTAAATGTGAATCAGCAGCAAACTCTCTGTCTGTCTGATGAGCTGCTCATTGACCTTGCCTTATACCCACCAATTAAGGCTTCCTGTTAGCCCTGGGCAATCTTCAAACACACTTAATGAAACAGTTATACATGTAAGAAATTTAAGCCCAAATCTGAGACGGTAACACTAATTTTCTAATAGCGAGGGTGTGATGCTCTCCCCTGCGCCCCCGGGGCACGGTCCAGAAACTCGTAGCAAACATTCTCCCGGAGAGCGTAGTTATTACCACCCACCAGTGTGCAGAACGACTGTGCCCCAGGGCACAGCATTATCAGCAACTTCCCCCAAAGTTTATCCCAAAGTTACTGCATACCGGAATTTGTGTTTTATAAATAAATTTTTTAAAAAGGGGGGGGCCGTAAGATCTTCACGTCTTGATTCGTTCATAATAAAGCCATTTCACAGCCCAGGAGTATTGCCGTGAGGACGTCTCGTGTGGTAGCCCCTCACCCCCAGCCTGCCGGAGCGTGTGCCGGTGAAACCTAGGAGTCTGTCTTACCTGTAATCTGACTCTGTCCTTGTGGATTAAAAGGACTTGGTGCAGAGTTCAGGGAGGGCCGTGGGTTCTGAGGCGGGACACCTACTCTCATACTGGGATGAGGAATGCGCCCTAAATCACTGAGGCGGTCAGAGAACAAACTAGGTTTAGAGTCATCAAGCTTCTGTCTGTGCCCTGGAAACAGCAAATCATAAAATAAAAGCATATTAATTAGCTGAACAATCGACCATACTAAATAGATATGTGAACATACATACTGGGGGTTTACAAGCCAAAGGGTCATCAATACTGATATCTACAATGAAATGTCTCTATAATGCCTTCCGTTTCAAGCAGCTTTATAAGCATCATCTGGTGGCAAGCGTTCCTACTCCTGGTCTACAAATGGAGAGCTGAGGGTCCCAGAGGGTGACTTGGAGTCGAGCGTCAGCACCAAGGGCCTGACGCTGGAACTCAGGAGAGACTCTCTGCGTGCCTCCCCTGACCCTCTTGGTGACGGTGGGGAAGGTGGTTGTGGACTGGGGTGTGTTTGCTTGTTTCATGAAGGAACTTCCCCGTAGTTCAGAGAGTCTGTGCACGTCGCACATCCTCTCCCAAAATTGGGGCAGAAACAAAGACAAACACATTTGTCAAAGGGCAATTTCCAAGATGACCATACACGACTTTTCTTTTTTATGTTACAACTATACCTCACCATGACTCTTCTCCGAAAAATTAAAACTCAAACCTAGAACCCCTTTAAGAGGAACAAATGGAAGTAGAGGCAAGGAAACTCAAATTCACAAGAGGAATCTGGATATTTTGTGAGACCCCAAAATGTAAAAGCATATGATAAACTATGCTAAATCACAGAATGCTTTTTGACTTCAAATCTAGTACTATGATTCTGTATAAGAAACTGAAAAATACCCTTTGGGTTACCATGTGAATGTGAAAAGCCATCATTTAAAAAAAAAAAAAAAAGCTTTGTCTCTCTTCTAGTTTGTTCAAGTCTAAAATCTAAGGAAATTCTAGATATTAAAGAAATACGCAAATTAATATAACTAAGGTTCTAAGGTTTCTTGAAAATCATGAACTCCTTCTCAGCAAATCTTGGTGCAAGTATAACAGAAAACCTCAGAATCTTGGTGCTACATAAGTTCAGTGCGCATCTGTGGAGTGGCCCAGTAGTGTACGAGCACAATAACACCTCATACGTGAATGGAAATACACTATAGATTCCTTCTTCCATATTCAGTGCCAGAAGGAGGCCCTAGTATGTTACCGCAATATACTGTAACTGAAACCGGAGCTGATTCAAAGAAGAGCCATTAAGGGGCGGCTGGGTGGTCCAGTGAGTTAACCCTCTGACTCTTGACTTTGGCTCAGGTCATGATCTGAGGGCCATCAGATGGAGCCCCACATTGGGCTCTGTGCTGGGCAGGGAGTCTACTTGAGAGTCCCTCTTTCCTCCTCCCTCTACCCCTCCCCCCACCTCTCACTCATGCTCCTTCTCTCTCTCTCTCTCTCTCTCTCTTTAAAAAAAAGGAAAAAAGGGGAAAAAAAAGAGCCATTAAGATAATGACTGGAATCAGAATCTGCTCTTTGAAGAAAAACTGAGGGAATCAGGATTATTATCCATAACAGAAAAAAAAAAACCCAGAAGGAGGATTGTTAAGAGCCTTCAAGACTGAGGGCAACAGGAGCACCTCATCTTCCTCTTGATAGAGGACAAGAGGAATCTATGAGGAGAGGGTTAAGGTGAACATGAGAATTTCCCAGCTATAAGCTGTCTTCATAAGACAAATTCCTTATTTTATTTGCCCCAAAATGTATTTTCCTATCTCCTTTTTCATTGCCTACCCAGCCCAAAGAAAACAGACAGGAAGCCAAGGCTTGGTAATATGAGTGTAGCTGTCTCTGCAGCCAAACATGTTCCAAATAGGCCCATTAACTGAAATGCACCCACCACCCTATTTCCTGCCAGCGTCAGTTTGGGGCATCTGCTGGAACGAGGGACGAAGGCCAGGAGAAAAAGTGATCAGGGAAAGTCATTGTTTTTTATGTTGTTTTCCCTGTTGTTTAGGACTCCTTATCCAGATTATGAATAGATTTTAGAACTCTACAGGGCCTTTAGAGATTACCCCAAACAGCCCCCCAGACCCCAGCGAGCAAGATGCCCACAGACAAAGTCACTATGGCCTGTGGAGGTCAAACAACTAGCCTGTGGTCTTCAGCCATTGGCCAGCCCAGCCTGGATGGTATACGGTTCCTGTCCTATCTGACCGAGCTTCCCACTCATCACGAGGCACCATCAATGCTGGTGTTCTTGCTTTATCTTTCCCCCCTCTCACGGCTACCGTGGAAGACAGACAATCTCCCCCACCGACACACAGACCCACCTAAGAACTAAGCCCAGTGTGGTGCCAAGGCCGGTATTTCAACACAAGCTGAAGCAGCAGTGAGGATTCCATGACAAAGGTAATAGCTCACCCATTACCCTACACAAACTCCCATCAGTGCGTCTTGCTCCATCTAACCAGTTTCACAATTAAGGAATTATATAGTACTTCTCACAGTTAGATCCATGGATTCTGTTACACACACACACACACACACACACACACACATACACGAAAGTACCAGTGTGGTATTGCTACAGCTATAAACGTTAACAAAAGAGCTTATGGAATTGTCCCTGGAAGTTATACTTTTTAATAGGGCCGTATTTTTGGAATGGCAGATTCCCTGAGGGCTAAGGAGAGGGCTACAAGATCTTGCACGGTTCCTTTAAACACTGGGACTTTATGTGGGCTACGGGTCACAAGAAAACTTCAGAAAGTCTCGCCTCTGCTCTCTACAGCCTTTTCCCTGGGTTTTCCTGGAGACCATATGAGATATGAGCTCGGTGTGTGGATGGGTGAGTCCACTTCTTATTTCCTCTGAGCAGGGCTTCAGGAAAGCCACAAGAGGCTGTAGGCGAGGTTAAAGGACCTGAAGCAGCACTGAGAAGTACGAAAAATGGAAAAGCAGGTGAAATTTTAAAAGCTTCAATGACCTTATGGAAATTACCTTCAAACGCGAGCTACCGAGTATCTCCAGACACCTGGCATAATCCAGGAGATATCGTTCTGTGGCTGCATACACCAAACAAAAGTATGCATTTCTCCTTGTAGATGTCTGCCCCTTCAGAGCCACCACCACAACCACAACAAAATTCTTACAGCACAAGGAAGAACAAAAGCCCAACAGGCTCTTCGTCTTTCAGCCATGACAAACACCGCTACCGCTAAACCACATCAGGGCTAGCACGTGAATGACGGGCTGGAAGAAGACGCCCTCCAATCCTCCACAGTCAAGGAGTCCTGTAAGAAATCGAGAGCATGGAAGACTAGGGCACGCTGAATTAAATCAAAGACAGGGCACTCTGCCGCAGTACAGGGAGAACTGAACGTCAGCCAAAGGGCCAAAGAGGGCATCTTCCAAACAGGAGGAAGGTATAAAGAATGGGAAACTTTCTCCCTTGGGTAGTGGTTCTTCCACCCCAGCTGGGTAAGAAAATCCTCCAGCGAGCTTTGTAAAATATAATTTCCCTGAAGGACACTCATTTAAGCATGCTTAATTGCTCGCTTGCTTTCTGAAGAAGCCCTCTTTCTAAGTCTTCAGCATTGCTGCAAGTCATTTAGAATCAGAGCACTGAAAAGGACAATAAAAATCATTTATACTGCACTTCAGACCACTGTACTTCTTTTATGAATAAGGACCCTGAATCCCTGAGAGGAGAAGCGACTTGCCCAAAATCACACAGTTGGTGGCAGGACTAGCACTCAAGGTTTCCGGTTGCTGGCCCCAGGCTCTTTTCCCTCCCACTGCCAACCAGCTTATTTCAGAGCATAACACTGCAGCATCAGGAGAAATCATGGTCAAAAGTGAATTTAAAATGGCAAAAAAAAAAAAAAAAAAAGTAATTTTCAGAAACAATTTCTTTCAAAAAGTCGAGTGTATTCGGCTGAATATGACTTTTGTTGCAATAAACTCAGGGGCAGGAGAAGAACTCATGATCCAAAAGTCACAGCATTCGCACATCCTTAGAGCAAAGACGCTTGAGGAACAGTTAGGTCCCTAAGCAAGAGTGCCGCTGATTGTCTCCTCCCTCCCTCCACCCCTGCAGCCCTGGTAGTGAAAGGGGCCCACACTCACAAAAGCTAGTTGGGAATACTGCCATTAGGATTGCTGCTTAAAAGATCACACAGCTGAAAGGGGTACGTGAAGACCTGGAAACTGTGCTGTATGAACTATGAAAACAAACTTGCGTCTGGGGTGGGACTCATTTTGCCCATTTTTATAAAAGTCGACTGAGAACTGGAAATCTGTGAGGGCCCCTAGGCAGACCGTCATACTTTATGCCCTGTACTCACAGCTGATCAGCTATCTTCCCCCAAAAGGAAAGACGGACTCCTGAAAGACACCCAAAAGTGCCTCCAAGGGACTGCACCTTTCAAACACAAGGCCACCTCAACAAGGCACCACGTCACACCAGGCCCACTCTCGTGGGGCGCAGGCGGGTCATTTCATGGATCACCAGGGCATGATGTTGGGCATCTCGCCTTTTTACACTGGTATTCTAAGTCGATTTTAAGTTCTAACTTCTCTTATTGGATATCTACTTTCATTCTGGTATCATGATAACACCATAAAAGAAATAAGTCGAGGGGTGCCTGGGTGGCTCAGTCAGTTAAACAGCTGCCTTCAGCTCAGGTGATGATCCCAGGGTGCTAGGATTGAGCCCCACATCGGGCTTCCTGCTCAGTGGGGAGCCTGCTTCTCCCTCTCCTTCTGCCTGCTGCTCCCCTACTTGTGTTCTCTATCTCTCTGTCAAATAAATAAATAAAATCTTAGAAAGAAAGAAAGAAAGAAAGAAAGAAAGAAAGAAAGAAAGAAAGAAAGAAAGAAAGAAAGA